TCCTCCGTTGGGCTCCTGCCCGCAGCGTGGGCTTGTAGTACACCCGTGGGCGAGCGTGGGGGACTCCCCCTCGTAAGGGGGAGCGTGAGGGGGCTGGTAGAGGAGCGCCAGGCACCCCGGGCTGGTGGAGAAAGGATATTTGTTTTTAACGTAACTGTTGAAGTTGGGGGAGATGCTGAGTAGCTGCTTGAACAGAGAAAATAACGCTTGTCTGTTGGAACTGCGGTGTTGGAAAGGTCTGCGCTCACAGCGGGAACTATAAACGAGAATCTTTTCGTTATTGTGTATTTCCTATTTCGATCCAGTACTTCACTAGTGTGTATTATTTGAATTTAGCTTCTGCTGGTGAACAGGGCTGTTTTTATTTCTGCACCAAAATGCCCTCCGTAATTTTGAGCAATACTGAGCTGGCTTTCAGTCCTCCTGTTTGCTGCCGTGCGGATGGTAGGCTCCCATTGCCACGTGTTTATTCCATACTTCCCTGAGACCTAAACGGGTTGTATTTTTCTTGAATCATGTACTGTGGTGATATTGGGCCATGGTAACTGCCATAAGCACTTCCTAAACACAGCTTAGAGCATGCAGTTCGAGTTAAAAGTTAAACCTTTCTTGTGGCTCTGATGCCTCTGAACTGGGAAAGCTGGAACTGGCCTGTTCTGTCCCTAAAATTGGTTTTGAAAGACGGATGTGAAAGAAATAGAGTAGGAAGCAAAACTGAAAGGAAGCTTTTAACCTGGGGAAGTAGGGAAGTAGAAATTGAGAATTGTAGGAAATGGTTGAAAAGGGTAGAAATGCCAGGGTAGCTTTGTCTGTACCAGTGGTAACGACCTCCACTTGTGAGGCTGGACTCCAGAGGGCCCTGGGGATGGCATGTTTTGTACCCGCAGGACGTAATTTCTTGTGTTGTTCTGTAGTACCCTCTTCCTTCTGGAATAAGATGTGATAAGTAAGGGTTCTCGTTTTTTCTGCACTATTCTCAGTGCAGTGCAAAATAGTACTAGGATATGTTAAAATTTTGCTTCGTGAAAGCATGTTAGGTGGTTCATGTTTTAGGCAGAGGACGTTAAACCTTTTTTATCTCTCTGTGTATATGGTAGCCTTTTTAAGAAACAACACTGTGCACATGTACGTACATCAGAAATTGGAGTTCAGGAACTTTCTGGTACAGAAATTTCTCCCTAATTTTAAAATTAAGGCACGTTCTTAGGCTCTGGAATTAAAGGTATTTTTTAGCAATAGCTTGGCAGAAGAGGAAACCAGTAAACATTTGTTGTCTTAACTTGGGATTAAATTATTTATGTGAGATTGGGTTGCAAGTATTTCTTGCTCTTCACAAAAGATGAATTCTTTTGAAAAAATACAGTTTCCTCTGAAAGAGCAGTTGTAATTTAGCAAGGTGACTGAGGATCTTGCAAATACTTGAGTTAATTCAAAAACCGAGTTACTGTATTGTGTTCAACTGTCTTGGAACAATAGCTTGGCATGTGCATAGCTTCTCACATTTTAAAATGTGAATGTTAATTTTTACAGCTTTCTGAAGTACACTGCACACACTTTAGGTGGAAAACAGATGCAGAGAGGTAATATGATTTGCTTTAGGCCAGAGTGGTAAAAACTAGGTTACAGTCAGAGAGTCCATCTTGGAGACTCTTGGGTTTAGTTATTACTGGATATTTCCCTTTTAAAAGGTTATGAATTTCTGAAATGATGTAATAAAGAAGATTTTGTCCGAGAGAAGGAATTTGAGCAGAAGAGCACTGCAAGGGTGTAACAGTGTCTTTGGTTGGTTTGTTTGTTTATTTTTTATTTCAGAAGGTTGAGACCAAAGAGGAATTTGTTAAAGTTAGAAGAAGGGATTTGGAAAGACTGACAACTGAGGTTATGCAATTGCAAGATTTCTTACCCAAAATAGTAAATGGGGATATCCTGGGGACATTCCAGAAACTGGATGCTATTGAATCAAGTGAGTAGTATCGTGTTGCAACCTCTTGGAGTTTTCTGCCAGAACTACTTAGAACAAACTGTCAAGCCCCTACGAATAGCTGTAGAGTTTGTGGAGGTATTTCAGATTAAACTGTGATGTTCAACGACTGCTTCTGCAGATTAATGCATTTGAAATGAAGAAAATTACAAACTGCATTAGGAATAATTAGACATGACAAATTAATATTTAAAAATACTTTACTGTGTATTAAAACATACTTAGTAAGGGAAGCTATATCAGGGAAAGTGATTCCTCTTGGAGAAAAAGCAAAAGCATTCTGTTTTTCAAAATCGCACTGTAAATACACAGTTAAAAAAATGTGGTCACTAGCTGAGGATAAAAAGTTAAAGGAAGAGATAATGTCGTATTTAGCCTATCTTGTTTTTTAGCTTGTATGTTTTTATTGCCTTAAATATTCATAATAATAAAAAAGTTAAAGACTCTGTTACAAAGGTCTTTTCCCTTCTGTCCCCAAAGTCCATTTTTTCAGTGTTATGATTCTGTGCATTATTTTTTCGACAGTTACACCACTCTCAACGTGCCATCAGGGCCAAATCTGAGTCAGCTCTATCCCTAGGCTGTAGCAGTTACATGCAGCAGTACAATTTACCTGTTCACCTGGGAACCGGTCTTGGCCAAAAAGACACGGGACGAGCATTGCTACAGATTACAGAAAGTATACCTCTTCTAGAATATCAATTGATTAATTGAGAATTAATTTGCAACAGCTAGCTAGGAGAGAGCAAGATAGAGCCTGTCTCCAATACCACGCAGTAGGTTGGGGACAGAGCTTCCAGCTGCCTCACTCATCCACTCTGGGAAGATTCTTCCATGCCATCAAATCCTCACAGAGATGACAAGGCCGTACCACCTCTCCTGCTGCTAGTTGAGATATAATCCATGACACAAGAAGTGATGCGGGACCTGGCAATGTTCTCTTTATGCTATTGCCAGGCGTCAAGGGCTGTTTCGAGTTGCATCAGGGTCCTCAGCTAGTCAGACCCTTGCTTCACCTACCTGCATCAGTGTTCGGTCTCAAGATTTCTCTCACTGATCCTTCTTGCACTCCTTGTGCCAGGCATCAAGGAGACACTGCCAGGGCCTCCCAGCAGCAGGTCTGTGGCATCAACATGGGGATTTTAAGACTTTCCTACCGATCTTCTGCTGGCTGGGCGGTGCTCCCTGGATCCTTTGGAGGAGTACCTGAAGCTGAGCCAGCCTTTAAACTCTTGCCTATATCCCCGCAGTGGATATCTGTCTTGCAGTTAGTGAGGACGTTTGTGTATTTATTCAGGTCCCTGCCATTGTTTGCCCCTACAGCTGGACAAGTCAAGTGGGGATTTTTGCGACTCCAGTCTGCTCCTACCTCTGCAGCATGCAGTGAGGCAGACTGAAAGGAGGCTTTGGTGCGTGCAGTTCACACAAGGTTGGATGGCACAGGGTCTTTGCATTTTTCACAGGTATATCTAGGTCAGTAGGACACCTGTTTGCTGTGGGAGCATCCCTTGGGTGGTATCTGAGGTCGGAGCAGGCAGTGGTCAATGCAACCGGCACCTACTTTTTGGGTTGGTGTCAGGGTCTTCACTAAGGCTTTTGCCAGCATCAGTGTTCATTTCAGAATGGAAGGTCTGTTTTGTTCTTACTGCCCTCCTCAGGAAGAGTGTTTAGTCTCAGGAATCTTAGAAAAGAGTTCCAACAAACTTCCTGTATGATGGTGTGTGAGTTTAGCTGAACTCGGCCCACGGGGGAAGTGTTAAAGATTGCATGTAACATTGATCTACTGTTTGGATCGGCAGTATTGGAATTCCATCACTTGTTGGCATTCGTGGTAATTGTACTCGTTTCTCTACTTCCCAGAGCTTTGAGGTGAGATCTCTGGTCCAGGAAATGTCTTGATGTGACCTATAGCGTGGATGAGAATTGAGTCTACCTTAAGCCTGAAATATGAGCCTCCTTTCATTGTGCCCAGTGCCTTGTTCTGCTTTTGAGTCTGCTGTCTGTCTCTGGAGCAAATGCCACTTCTTCCCAGAGTCTGCTTTATGCTACAGTGGGGAAATTACGTATTTCATGTTTGTATAAGGATGCCATTTCATATTTATTTGCTCATCCAACTTGATAGTGAAGGCTGCTTCTTCACTTAGTGGAGGTAGATAGTCTGAGCCTCAAGATTTTAGTGTCGAGAGAGCGGGTCTGGGACTTGGAGCCAGCGGCAGAACCTGTTGGGCTTCCCGGTGTGCTGCTGAGGACCAGGGTGTGCAGGACTCGGCAGCACAGCTGCAGGCTTCTGTGTCAGCCATGTGTCTGCTGCTCGTGCTGCTGCTGCGTGTCAAGAAGCTCTCAAATGTCAGGACTGGTGTATGTAGCCTTGGATTCTTTTCAGAGCAAAGGTTTGCACAGCTGGGAGAGCTGACTGAGCGTAAGGGGGAGTTTCCATGATTAGGGCACAGCTTGAAGTGGGTCTCTGTTCAGCTGCTTCCAATATTACCCCTTTTTTTTTTTCCCCCTTCTCCTCATCATAGTACCTTGGAGGTTCACAGATCCTTCTTTTATCTGGAGGGCTTAAAAACCCATAGGTAGCTTTTTATTACACTCAGTAGTGTAATATTACTCCTCACTCAGTTTTGGTTCCAGGACCTTTGAGGTCTGCCAGTGAAGGATGGGGGGATATCTGTATCTGCTGGCTGTGCTGCTGCTGGATTTAGGGTGGATCCATCCTCGCAAAGGCTGGAAGTGATTCTTCTCATTCAGCAGAGCTTGTTTCCTTGCAGTGAGAGAGATTTTCACTGGATGTACTTCTGTGGCAAGGATGAACTGGTCCTTGCCCTGCTGTTGATAAGCAGAGCATCGCCTGCTCATGCGCAAGATGTCTCTCTGTCAAGTACCTGAGACTCACACCCACATAGCAACAGGTGCACAGGACTTCATTTTCTTTACTTGACGAACACAAATTTTCCTGCCACTGTCGAGAGTTACTCCTCAAAAACTCAATGCATCCATTCGATGGCAGGTTGAAAAGAACAGAATGTTTAGAGAGCATATATGTGCCCTGGCACATCTGTCTTTCCTAGGAGCGGACCCTTGCCTTGGCTTGCCTCGCCTCTTTGGTTTCTGTTAAAAAGTGTTAGTGCTGATGGCTTAGAATCATGCAAGGGCTGAGTGGAAATACGTTCCACCTCTTTAGAGCAGCTGTTTGTGGCTAGATTATCAACTTTTATACTTGCTACTCAAAGCAGTGTGTATATATTTGTATTGACGACATTTTGTGAATTAGGACCAAAAAAGAAAGGAATTTATTTCCAGATACTGCAGAATCACTAAATAAAATGCCAGAATCCAAGCTTTTTGGATAATGGGGACTGTTATCTTTTTATGATTGAATTTGATATGTTCTTTAGTAAATACTTCCCGTAACATGTGGTCAGTATTTTATAATGTATTTGAAGTGTGTTAAGCCATAGACCATGCTCACATGATTTGGGGTGTGGCGCTCGAAGCAGAGTGTAACTGGTGTTTTAAGCTAACCAAAATCAGAGTAGATGTTCTTTGGATATTACTTTTTGGAATTTCTTAAGTGTTTTTCCATTTCTCAGTATAAATACTAAGCATCGAGAACTGTGGTTTTTAAAGAAAAATATAGTATACCACAATCCTTAAAAATATCCTTCAAAGTGAATTTTGTAAAACATACCTCATGATCATGAAGTACAATACTTTTAACTTGGTTTTAGTTCAGTAAAATGGAGCATCTAAATCAGAATGTATTTCTGATAACATCAGAGATTAATTTTTAAGGGAATTGTAAAATTTGCTTGTCACTGACGTGTTTAATTAGCTTGTAATATCTTATAATACTTCATAAATATTAATTTAAAATGTTTGGAGTAGCTGCATTTCCTTCTTGCTATTCATATAATTTGTACATGGTATGTTGAAGCACTCACTTTTCACTGATCTTGGTATTCTTTTTCTTAGACTTTTCACTCTACTCACTGAATTTCGAAGATACCAGACATGAAAACTATCGTAAAAAACCCAAACAAAGTAGAAATTGAGTAATTTTTAAAGAATTCCTCAGGAGCTGGAGCTCTCTTCCAGAACTGTCTCTTATTAGCACATAGTATTTAACAGCTAGATGTGATTTCCC